TTGCCTTCGTCAATGGAGGCTCATTTTTGAGCGATTTAAGACATGGCTCTCCAAGGGAGAAGACGGACTCAAATTGTCCCTTTTTGAGCGATTAAAGACATTCCTGATGCCAAGAAAAGATTCATTAGTTGTGTCCCCAGATAAGGTAGAAATAAAGAAAGAAAATTAGTCTGAAAAGTGCAATGATGTAACGTTTAATACATTGGCCATATTTTTGTAATGCTTATCAGCTCTTACAATGCCTCGAAGAGGATAAGTAAGTATAAGCTCTATGGCAATCATTCTTATTTATGTTAAAAAAACTATGAGGAACGATGAATCACTTGAGTGAAAACATTGGGCAAATTGCAAGACCAAAATTTCCTTTTTATGAATCATTTGATGATTTTGATGATTGCTCTTCGCTTTGTTTTATCATCTACTAATGCTTTTATATTTTTTATTATTTTATTTTATTTTTGCAACTGAAAGAAACTCATTTCAATCAAATGTTTATCATTAAGCATTTTATAGTTTACTTTATGCTTGTTCGTTGATTCCTTAAGGATTTACACATGTTATCGATATAAATCATTTTATCTGTTATCGTTGTGTTATTCCTATGTTACTTCGTAGCAAATGCGTAGAATTCTTTGTTATCTAGCAAAAGTCTGAAGTGCTGAATTTAAGGCGACTGCGAAAATGACTCGAAATAGTAGTGAAAATTTATGCGCTTACAGAAGAAATATTTAGGACCGAGAATGGGCGAGACTCGCGTCTTGACATATCTGGGACGCCTACAGCATTTGGGGGGGGGGTGTCAGGGGGGTCCTGATCCCCCTTGTATTTCTGAAATAATCACACCAATGGTCCCCTCTTCAAATTAAAAATTTGACCAGCCAAATCATAGTTCTAAACCGTATACCAAATGGCACCTTTCGCTCTTTAAAATACCAAAAAATTTCCAACGCCAAGGGAGGGTGGGGGGTCGGCTTCGCATCCGCGGACCCCCCCCCCCCCTGCAAATAATCCTGGATCCGCCCCTGTACAGAAACAGTGAGCTTCGGTCTTCTTCTATCCAAGTGACTTTGATATCTATTTGAAGCGTGTATTTATCGAACCCACCCCATAGTGAGAAGATATCAGTCATCAAATTCTACAGTATGCTTGTCTTGGATCGACAAAAGACACGTTAAGGCCAATTCCCGGTTTTATACTGCCCTCCTGTTAAAACTCGTCTACTCCATCTCGTCCTGAGGGTCTTCAGATGTTTGCTGACAAGTTACCAAGCATGATTTTTATTTATTATTTTTTTATGTGAATTTTTATAAAACCGACGCCCAGACAAACACATTTGCTGTCTTCAGTTGTTTGTGACCACCATGATACGGACTTAACGATTTAACATATTTAGTCGACTTAATGTGAGGTCCTTTCTGACACTGTCATCTCCATTTTTTCCCCTCTTTTTCCGTGCCGCCATGACATAAATAAACTCAATGATTAAATCCAGGTTGAACTGATAAATGAGTTAATTTTAAGCAAGAAAAAACCATTTATGAAAATAGATATTTTAAAGAAATTATCTATTAATATATTTAGACGACTTTGTGGGAGGCACCTTTGCTTTCTCAGCACCAAATGATCGCGTGTCCGTCTGATATAGACTTTATGCTCAACATTTTAAGCGATGTCCCGTAATACACCTGCGCCGTCTCCAGTTGTTTGTTGGTCACAATGATGCAGATTTTTTGATGTGATATATATAAGCGTGACGTATAAGATTATATCCCATAGGAAAGGATTATCTTGTGAATCACAGTGAAATGAAATGGGCAAAGGGTGAGTTGTCATTTTGAATACTTACGTTTCACCTTTGGCGGTTTTAAAATGTGTACCGTGAGACTGTTTCACGACGTAGATAAGATCTCACGTAGATTAAGTTTAATCTCTAAGTTATCTCATTAGTGTCTATTATTGTGCAAAATTATTGCATTGCATTGCATTGCATTTTGATTTATTTTCTTAAACGAGAGTTTCCGTGGGAATTTCTTTTATTTTTGTATAAGTTGCTTTTGAGTTCGTCTCAAGGGCTTGCTTACATTTTTGAAAAATGATTGTAATATGAAATTACTGACGTTTTTTGACAGAGCGGGTATTATTGGAGCTTATGTTTGTGGTGTGCAGTTAACCCCCCCCCCCCCCACACACACACACACACACACGCGCGTTTAATTTGGTTTTTAGATTAGAGAAAAGACATCAATAACTCTCAGTTTAACTGTTGTTTAAAAGAAACTATTACCATAACTTATAACAGCTGATAAAATTATTTGCCGGGCTCCTGATTTTACTGCTTTTGGGTGACTCCACTTTGTACATGATTTTTACTTTTTTTATCAACAACGTGCTTTTCGTCTGTCAGCTCCTGTAATCCTTATACACTGATACAGTGTACAGAACTTTACTCTGGGAGAAGGGAGCACTAGGATGAAAAGGGGTGGATAGGGGAAGGAAAAGGAGGAAAAAAATGAACAGCACAGTAGCAAAGGAAGAAAATATTCAGGCCTGTTGTGCCCCGTACCCCACTCCACCTCCCCCATTTGGATTCCCTCCCCGGATCAGCCACTAAATGAGCCAATAACTATTTCAATAAAACAGACACATTTGCTGTCAGTTCCAGTTGCTCATATTTTTATTGAAGCCATTGAAATTTCAAACAGAAATGCGGTTTGTTCATGCGCCCAGATATCCTATAAATTACACGCAGGTCGGCGATGAATATTGGCTACTTCTTTTTAACCGTAGAAAGCTTTGCCGCCAATAAGGTTCACGTTGCACACCGTGGCGGGATAGTATTTTCCTACTTTAAGGCCAGTGGTGGCAGAGCCCGGAGCACAAGGCTGAAGCAGGGCACGACCGTTGGTGCAAAAGACCAGAGTGTGTGCGTCCCCGGCGTAGACGCCGTCATACCCGCACTTGCCTAGAATTCAAAGTGCACGTGCTTTAAGGTTGCTTAGTTAATTAATTCACCATGCATGTTTTTGCGGTACACTTATAAGAATAAATTATAAGAGTAAATGAAATGTAAAAAGATGTTACATTAACATTAAAAACCAAGCTCGTAAAGCAAACATCTTTTAAGAGTTCTTTGCATAAGATACAAGACCGCTTGCTGAAACTTTGCAAGGATCTTTTACACCAAAGAAATAAGTGTTGTATACTTGTATCGATAGTCATGAGTTACTGAATAAAACGTGTCACGTTTTTCTTTTTGAGAGAGAGAGAGAAAGAAAGAGAGTGCACGTGTGTTTTTGAGAGAGAGAGAGAGAGAGAGAGAGAGAGAGAGAGAGAGAGAGACTCACCAGCATAACTTCCGTGGTAGCGGAATTGTTGGCCATACAGTCCACCTAGGCCGCCGTACCCACCGTGACCGTAACCACCGTAGCCGCCGAGACCATTAAGTCCATAGCCAAGGCCAACCCCAGCTTTCCTAGAAAAAAAAATGTAGACATTTTAGACTTTTAAAGATGCACTAAATTTTGGATAAACAACATAAATTGAATTTAAATAAATATATTTGCATAAAAATTTTATTATATATGGATATTTTGAGGAAAAACTGCGATAGGCAATCCTAACCGGCTTTGGGTGAAAAAAAAATATAAAAAGGTTGATATTCTGGTTGAAGAAGCATATTCTTTTTATGACACAAATAAGGAAAGTATTAAATGGAAAAGTCAAAATACAGGACTTACCCCACACCGCCGACAAGACCAACCCCAGCTTTTCTATAGAGAAAAAAGACAAAAGTGACACATAATGTTCAGATTAATTTTCAATAGATACAGATACTGTATAAGAATCGATATCCAAAGGTTAACATTATAATTAAAGAAGCATCTTTTTCTGATCTCAAATTATATAAAAAATAAAGGAAAACGTGATATGGGTTGTTATAAAATAGACTTACCCCACACCGCCGACAAGGCCCACTCCGGCTTTTCTATAGAAAATAAAACGGTGTCATTTAAGGTCAGATTATTTTTTTCACTGGATACACATATACAAGTCAGTATCAGAAGGTTAATATACTAATTAAAGAAGCTTTTTTTTCTGATTACAAATAAGGCAAGAAATAAAGGAAAAATGAGACATATAGGTGGTTATAAAGTAGACTTACCCTACACCGCCGACAAGACCAACCCCAGCTTTTCTAGAGAAAATAAAACGATGCCATTTAAGGTTCAGATTATTTTTTCAATGGATACACATATCTAAGTCAGTATCAAAAGGTTAATATTCTAATTAAAGAAGCATTTCTTCTGGTCACAAATAAGGTAAGAAATAAACTGAAAAAAGTTGTTGTAAAGTAGACTTACCCTACACCGCCGATGAGGCCAGGCCCAGCTTTTCTAAAAAAAAAGGAAAAATAGTAACATTTTAGACTAAGATTCATTTTCATTGTAAGCAATAGAAAAACAGGAAATAAGAATTAAAAAGTGGAAATGCTGTTATAACATGGACTTACCCTACAGGACCGACAATGGTAGCTCCAACTTTTCTGTGGAAAAAAAGAAGATCTAGTTTTGTATGTATACACATGCATGAACAAACCTTAGAATTTGCAAAAACCCTGTAATGTTATGTATTTATCTGAGAAAAAATTATAGGTAGTTCTAATCATACTAGTGCAAATATAGATAATAAAAAGGTGGATGTTTCAATTTAATTGGCATGGACTTTTGAACTCAAATAACGAAAGAAATGAAAGTTTGAAAATGTTATTTTAAGAGGAACTTACCCTACACCGCCAATAAGGCCAGCACCAGCTTTGCTATAAAAAAAGGAAACAGTGACATTAAGACAACGATGCAATTACTTTTGGATAGATTATACGTTAAATGTCAAAGACGGAAAACTGTTACTTTTGAAAATTAACATGTAAAAATAGATAAATCTGCCATCTGGTGGAACGACACTAAGAAGTCTTACAGACAGTTTATAGTTTATTTCTCTTGGAACAGGAAAGGAAATAAATTAATAAAAGTTAGAAAATGCGTTATTAACATGATCTTACCCAACGCCGCCATAGCCAACTGCACCAACACTAGAGAGGAAAAGATTTTAGTTCAAAAAGTATTTCATTTTAAACACATATATTTAAGGCAAGAAATGAAATTACATAAACGTTATAATGTCATGGAATTATCTGAAAAAGTTTCAATCGCACCAGAGTGAAAAAAATTAGAGCTTTATATTCTAATAAAAAAAGTTATCTTAATACAAATCAGGAAGGACATAATTGAACAGATGTTGTTATGACTGTGCCTTACCCAACAGGGGCGACAAGACCAGCTCCAGCTTTTCTATAAAAAATAAGATAATGGCGACATTTTAGGTCGTAATTGAATTTCATTTAGATACACACGCTTAAAGACCAATGAATACTAAAAACGTTGTAATGCACACGTCAAAAGCATGTTAAAGGAAAATTTAAAAGGAATTAAGAACAGGATTATATATTCAAATTCAGTAAACATTTTATTTTAAACATAAGGAAGACAAAAATATAACATAAAAACGCCGTAATAACATGGACTTACCCTACAACGCCGCCATAACCAACTCCGCCATATCCAACTCCAGCTTTTCTAGAAGGGAAAGAAAGAAAAATGTCGATAATAAAGGTGATGAAGCAATTTAGTACCAGATAGACACAATTAAAACATCGAATTGCCCATTCACTTAAATTTTGTGGGGTTTATCTGGAAAAGCTGATATAGGTGGTTTCAATCATACTAGATTGACAATAAACAATAAAATGTTTTGTTCTAATCGAAACATTTTCTTTTGAATACGAATAACAAAAGAAAGAAAAGTAAGTGAAAATGCTCTTATAAGATGGACTTACCCCACACCGCCGACAAGGCCAGCTCCAGCTTTGCTATAAAGATAAAAAACTGTAGAATTAAGACGGTGTCAAGATGCAATTACTTTTGGATATACGAATCTGCAAAAACGTTGTTATGTTATGTAATGATCCCCTTAAAGCGTTATAGGCAGTTCAAAGTTCACTATGTACTGTGAGTAGAATCAATGAAAAGACTGTTATTCTCATCCAAGAAACATTTTCTTTGGGAAACAAGTAAGAAAGATATCATATAGAATAAATACAAAACACACGCTGAGACTTTATTTTAATATTTTCATACCGTTAGCTCTCAGCTTGTGCTTAATTATTATCACATATAATTCAACTACTGAGCTGATGAACACTTTTGCAAAAGAAAGATGTCATTTAAAGTTTGAAAAGCGCTGACGTAACATCGACTTACCCAACAGCGCCGCCATAACCAACTGCACCCACGCTAGAGAGGAAAAAGGTTTAAGATGTATTTTATTCTTAACATGTACAAGAAACGAAACAAATGAAATTGCAAAAACGTTGTAATATCGTGGACTTTTCTGATAAAATCGTTACGGTCAGTTCGAATCATATTAGAGTTTAAAGAAAAGAATATTCTAACTGACAAGATTTTCATCTGAACAAAAATCAGGAAGGAAATAAATTAAAATACGGAGTTATAACATGGTCTTACCCTACAGGGCCGACAAGACCAGCTCCAGCTTTTCTACAGAAAAATAGAAAATGGCGACATTTTAGGTCATGGCCCAATATCGTTTGGATACACAAGCGCCAAAGCTAATGTTTATGAGAAAACGATGTAATGTCATTGACTTATCCACAAGAAGATATTTTAAGAAATCTCAATCGCGTTAGAAAAGAAAGAATATAAATATATATTCTTATTCGGGAAGATTTTTTGTCAAATACCAATGAAGCATTTAAAAATCATTTAAAATAAGAGAACGCTGCTATAACATGGACTTACCCTACAGCGCCACCATAACCAACTCCGCCATATCCGACTCCGGCTTTTCTAGAGGGGAAAAAATAAAACGTCAACATTGAAGACACTAATACATTTTCATATATATAGACGCGTACAATACAATACAATGAACATGCATAAACGCTGTTATTTCATGAAATAAACTGAAAATGCCGCTATAGGTAGTTCAAATCACACTTGTATAAAAAATGGGAAAAATGATAAAAAGGGTTCACGATACAATCTACGCATTTCATTTTGAAAGTAAAAAAGTGTAAAAACGCTGTTATGAGATGAACTTACCCTACAGGAGCGACAACGCCAGCACCAGCTTTACTATAAATAAAAAAGAAAAGGGTTAAGTTAAGGTGGCGTTTATATGCAATGTCTTTTGGATAGATAACAAGTGAAAAAACATAACTATGGAAAAAGATGAAATGTTATGGAAAGCCGTTTAAGGATATTTCCACTGTACTACAGTGGAACGCAAGGAAGAAAGAAATCAGTTAAATTTTAAAAAAGTCTGTAGTAATATGTACTCACCCTGCAATGCCGCCATAGCCTCCTACACCAACGCTAGAGGAGGAAAAAAGAAAACATTTTGGGTTTGAGAGGATTTATTTTTAACATCTAAATTGAAGAAGTAAATGAAAACCAAAGTGAGAAGAAATAAATTGTTTATATACTAAATCAAGAACCATTTTCATCTGAACATAAATCAGGAAGAAAATAATTTTTTTTTTTGTTATAACATGGTCTTCCCCTACAGGGGCGACAAGGCCAGCTCCAGCTTTTCTACAGAAAAAAAAAGAAAATGGCGACATTTTTTAGGTAAAGACAAAATTTCATTTGGATACACAAGTGTAAAAAGTAATGATTGCAAGAAAGCTCTAGTACCGTGGTCTTAAAAAAAAAACATGTCATAAGAAGTTTGACAGCGTTAAAGCAAAAGAAACTATTTTAAAGGCTTATATTCTAATTCAGATGCATTTCATTTCAATCACAATTAAGGCGAAAGGAATTAATTAAAATGCAAAGTCGATATTATTACACGGACTTACCCAATACCGCCGGCAAGTCCAACTCCAGCTTTTCTGGAGAAAAAAAAGAAAGAAAAAACGTCGTCATCGAAGGTAATTACAAATTTTCATGTATGTATAGACACCTATAAAATTAAATATACTAAAAGACAGTTATTTTATGGACTTATCTGAAAAAGCTGTTGTAGGCAGTTCAAATCATACAATAGTGAAAGTAAATGAGCATAATGATAATGACGGTCATATTTTAATTGATAAGCATTTCCTTTTGGGCACCAATAACAAACCAAATGAAAGTAAAGAAATGATGTTATATTCGATTCAAGATGAACATGTTCATTTGAAAAATAATTTAGAAGGAAATGCATGGAAATATGTTGTCATAACATGGTCTTACCCCACACCACCGATAAGGCCAGCTCCAGCTTTTCTAAATAAAAAAGAAAAATGGTCATGATACAATTTTATTTAGATACACCTTTAGTTCAGTGAGCATTCTTATTCAATCCCAAATAAGGCAAAAAATAAATTAAAATGTGAAAACGCAGTAATAATATGTACTTACCCTACAACGCCGCCATAACCAACTCCAGCTTTTCTGTAAGAAAAAAAAAAGTTGATATCGAAGGTAATGTATTTATGTATACACAAGCGTTAAAATGAATATGCTTATATAATGGCCGTATACTTTAAAGATATGGCCGTATCCGGAAAATGTTACAAGGAGCTCCGATCACACTAGAGTGAGAAGCAAAGGTAATGAAAAGGTAGGTGTTTCAGTCTGATAAGCATTTCCTATTAAACACAAATAATGAGAAGGACTTACCCTACACCACCGACAAGGCCGGCTCCAGCTTTACTATAAAGAAAAAAGGAAGCATTAAGTCGACGCAAAAACGTTACTTTTAGACCTATCACACGTAAAAACTGATGCAATTAAGAAAACGGTCCAATGTTTTGAATTGTAGTTGTAGGTAGATCACATAACACTACAGTGGTTGAAAATTATATGCAAATATTGATATTCTACACCAAAATGCATTTTCTTTAGAAGACAGATAATAAAGGGTTCAATAAAAGTTTGAAAAACGCTGTAGTAACATGGACTTACCCTACAACGCCGCCGTAACCTCCCACACCCACGCTAGAGGGGGGAAGAAAGGAGATATTTCATGTCTAATAGGTGCATTTTATATTAAACATTCTTGAGTAAAGAAGGAAATGAAAATTTAAAACATGCAACCTTTTTCTATTAATCTAACTGGTGTGAAAATAAATGGGAATTTGGTTTTGTAATTCATGATCCAGGCCCGTAGCCAGGGGGGGGTTCGGGGGGTTCGAAAGAACCACCCTTTTTGCTGGGAAAAGGTCCACTCTGGATAAAATTTGACCTACGTATTTGAGGATTTTATGGTAAAAGGTCCACTTTTTCAGAAAACGAACCCCCCCCCCCCCCCCCTCCTCTGAAATTGCTGGCTACGGGCCTGTGATCTGAACCATTTTCTTTTAAAAACAAACTAGAAAATAGATAAAAACGTGTTGGTATAACATGGTCTTACCCTACAGGGGCTACAAGGCCAGCTCCAGCTTTTCTACAGAAAAAAAAAAAGAAAGTGGCTTCATTTTAAGTCGTGATGGAATTTCATTTGGATAAACGCGTAAAAAACATATGCAAAAGAAGAGTAATACAAAACCATATTAGCAAAAATCTTTTAAGAAGCTTTAATCAAGTTAAAGCAAAAGAAGATAAGAAAAACCGTTCATATTTTAATTCAACAGCGATTTAATATCAAATCAAATAAGGCAAAAAGGAAATTACTTAAAATGTGAAAACGCTGTAATAACATGTACTTACCCTGCAACGCCGCCATAACCAACGCCGCCATAACCAACTCCAGCTTTTCTAGAGGGGATAGAAAGAGAAACGTCGACAATGAAGGTTTTAATGCATGCTCTATGTAAAGACACGCGTAAAAGCGAACATGCTCAAAATTGTTATCTGAAAGAATTGTTATAGGCAGTTCCAATCCTATTAAAGTGAAAACAAATAATAGTAATTATAATAAAGGTTCATGTTTCAATTTGATAAGGTTTTGAACACAAATCAGGAAATAGATAAATAAATTAAAACACCGTTATAAGTTGGTCTTACCCTACGGGGGCGACGACGCCAGCTTTTCTACAGAAAAAAAGAAAAAGACGACATTTTAGGTTGATGATGACGCATATAGACGTAGATGTGTGAAAAACCAAATAATAGACTAAAACATTAATATGTCGTGGGGATTTGAAGCGGTTAACATTAATATGTCGTGGGGATTTGAAGTTTCAGATTCAATAATGGAAAATGGAAATAAAAGAATCTATCAATCTAGCGTTAAAAAGCGGTTTCTTTAGGAAATAAATAGAAAAAAATGGAAACTCTTACCCAATGCCATAACCAGCTCCGACTTTTCTGAAGACAAAAGGAAGACGATTTAAGTTATGGTGCATTTTCCTTTGGGTATACAATATAAAAATCAATTCACGATAGTATGTAAAGAACTTTTCTTTAAACATTTAATAGGCAGTTACATGTACAGCCGCGATAAATGACGAAGAAATGAAAACCGTTGTTATCTTCATTCAAGAAGCATTTCTTATCTGAATATGAATAAGGAAAAAGATAAATTAAAAGGTGAAAACGCTGTTATAACAAGAACTTACCCTACACCGCCGGCAAGGCCTACTCCACCAGCTTTTCTATTGAAACAAAAAGAAAACAGCATCCTTTTAGGTTGAGAAACAAGTTTTGGATACATTTGTAAAATACACATACATGTACGTGTAGGCCTAGAAATACCTGAATATTCGAAAGCGCTGTACTGTTATGGACTGATAAAAAGCCATTATATGCCGGTATTTATCAGCAATTTTTAATATTTGTGACTTCAGAAACGTTTTCTTTTGAACTTAAATAAGGAAATATAAAAAAACAAAGTTAAAAAGTACTATTACAGCATAGACTTACCCAACAACGCCGCCGTAACCAACGCCAGCTTTTCTAGAACAGAAATGTAAACGGCGACATTTCAAGTTAAGTTTATTTTTATTGGAACGAAAATAAAGAAAAAATGTCAATATTTCATTTCAATAACCATTTTCTTTTCAACGTAAGTAAGGGACAAAACATGCCAAATAAAAAAACCTTATTATAACATGGACTTACCCTACAACGCCGCCATAGCCAACTCCGCCATAGCCAACTCCAGCTTTTCTACAGGGAAAAATAGAAACGGCAAAATTTAAGTTAAGATGTACTTTTATTGGAACGAGGAGCAATAGAAAGATAAACATTCCAATAAGAGAAATTTTTTCCTTTGAACATAAGGAGTGAACAAAAATGAAAAAAAAATGTAGGCTTCATATAAACTTACCCTACAACGCCGCCATAACCAACTCCGCCATATCCAACTCCAGCTTTTCTACAGGGAAAAATGGAAACGGAGAAATTTAGGTAAAGATACACTTTTATTGGAACGAGGAGCAATAGAAATATAGATATTCCAGGTATACAAGAGAAACTTTATCCTTTGAACATAAGGAGAGAAAACAAAAATTAAAAAAAAAAAAAAACTGTAGGCTTTATATAAACTTACCCTACAACGCCGCCGTATCCAACTCCAGCTTTTCTAAAGAAAAAATGAAAACGGTGACATTTTAGGATATGTTTTATTTTAGGTTTCTGTTGTATGCAAACACGTACAAAATATGACAAACAAAATAAAAGAAAATCCAGAAAGGAATAAACGTAAATGCAAAAGCTCTGTTATAATGTTATAACACATGCTCACCCAACACCGCCGACAAGGCCAACCCCAGCTTTTCTAGAGAAAAAAGAAAACAGTAACATTTGAGGGCCATATTAATTTTTTATATGAATGTTGGCATCAGAAAAATTAATATTCAAAAGATTAAAGACGCATTTTCCTCTGAAAACGAATAAGGTAGGAAATAAAGGAAATGTGAATAAAAGTCGTTACAACGAAGACTTACCCCACACCGCCGACGAGACCAACTCCAGCTTTTCTAGAGGAAAAGAGAAAACGGAAACATTGAAGGTTAAGGTGCAATATTTTGTATAAAATACAGTTTGAAAAATCGGTAAATATGTGCAAACGCTGTACTGTTTTTAACTGACCCGTACTGGTCCTATGCAATGAACAAGTTTTTTATGACCCTCCAAGAAACAGTTTCTTTTGGACACTTACAGAGCAAGAAACCATAAAAAGGTTGAAAATGCAGTTGTTACATGGACTTACCCTACAACGCCGCCATAGCCTCCTACACCCACGCTGGAAGGAGAAATAGGGACAGCATTTAAGTTTAAAATTGCGTTTTATTACAGATGTAAGTTAGTAAAAAATAAAAATGCAAAATATATTAATAACATGGGCTCGGCTGTGAAAACCGTGAAATACCGAATCCCCAACGCTACGCTCAAAATGAATACAAATTAAAGACATCTTATTGATTGTACATGAGTCAGTGAATAAATGAAAACACTAAAACTGATGAATAATATGGGCTTACTGAAGTCAAGAGTCAAGTTCTTTTATATATAATGAAAAAAGTAAAAAGCAATAACTTATACAACTTACCCATAACCGCCAGCCTTACCCACACTAGAGAAAGAAAAGAACAAAGGCGATAATTTATGATGCAGTTTTATTTGAATAAAAAAACATTCTCAATGGCAATCTGTTGATTGTAATAAAACCAAGTAAAGGAAAATTTTAGGTGTCTAAGTTAAAAATTGTTTCACTTCTTTCTCTTTGAGCATCCGTCTGTCCTTACAGAACCATTAAATTTTTAAGGGACCTTGTAGGAAATCTTGTCCACAACGCTGCACAACCCCCGCCCCACAACCAGAAAGAGAGAGACGACAAAAACCTTGGTTGATTCAGTCGTTCTAAGCATAGAGGTAGAAGATCTTAAAATATATTCACAAAGACTCACCCGACGACGCCTTTATATACAGGATAAACATATGTTCCACACACGCTGGAAACTGCCACCAGGGCCAAGAAAAGAGCAATTGCAACCTTCATTATACTAAGTGTGTTGGACGGCTAACAGCAGCAGAAAAGAAAACCGCTTTGACGTGTTAACTCTGTGAGCCTGCCTTTTATATACTCCACAGTCACCGGCGTTATTTTTAAATTCTCACAGGTCCCCACTTTTGGCCATCATGCGTTTTTCTTGCTGTGGCTGACACCGACTGCCTCCATTAATCAGAAGTCGTCTGAGATTAATGCCTTCCGAGATATTTACTGTGAAATGAAATAAAATGACGGAAAAGGGTCATCTTGGGATCAGACAGATATGCCTTTTTTATCAATTAATGAAACGAGGATGAGGGTGGGGATTAAATATGTTTTCTCTCTTTTTTTACTTTCTCTCTCTCCTATCGTATCCTTCTCATGGAGACTATCTGGCAGTTAATATGAAGAATTACCAAGACGAGGCGCGGTGTGTATTTGCTGGTTAAATATCCTTTACTGTGGGAAGAAAATGAGCCCGGGCAAATTATTCAAGCCGTTATGACCCAAGAGATAGAAGATGATCTGCGCAAAATACATTGAGGCTTTTGATGATGTCCGAGTAGAGGGGGAAAAAAGAAAGAAAATGAGGGATGACATATGGATTTAAAAATAACAAATAACGACTGGAGAATGGTAACAGGGAGTAATTGTAGGGTTCATTCCCAATGAAACTATCGTTCTACGTCGATCGACTCAACTCCGCGGGGACTCTCGCTGAATGTAGTCAGATTAACAGATTAATACACCTCCGCCTGGCGTTGAGTAGCATACAACAAATATGGTGTTTTTACGAGTATGTTGGAAACAGGAGGAGGCGTGTCAATCCGTTAATCTAATTTCATTTAGCAATGGGGGGGGGGGGGGAGGGGCAAAGTCAAGTCTTCCCTTAGTTTTGGGGGCAAACCCTTCTCCCTTTCCTCCCCACCATCCCCCAAAATATTATAACAAACGCAAATCTACAAATCCACCCTCCCTTTTTTTTTTCTTAAACTGCCGTTGTCTGTTACTTAATAATACAGTTAGATATCATAGTCTCTGCCCCCCCCCCTCCCGCGCTTTGCAAAGTGTTGGCCTGGCAGTGGTAAAGTATGGTTAAACAAATCGTTCCAATGACGAATGATCGACAACGCACTGTCACCCATCATCTTGACAAAAGTCAGGTTTGTCACAGCGCCAGAATTCAGCGTCATGCACAACGCTGCAGTGACGTGACATACACAAAGCTATATACCGAAAACATGAAAGCGTAAATGTGGTTGCTTAGTCACCGACAATTTTAATATATTGTGTCCAAAATATTAAAAGTGAAAACTTCTTTCACTGAAATAACCTTATTAGTGCTCCATAATTGCGATGTTCATTTCGTGTTCATGACGGAATGCTTTTGTGAGTTATGGAAGTGAAATCCGTTACGTTCTCGGCATAATAAATGGGTTGCGCGTCCCGATTTAACTGGGATTTTATACATGTCACGCTGATATTAAGTTTTACAGTCACGTCGCATGACGGGACTCTTGTTATCATTATTATTATATACATTATTGCTGTTGTTATCATTGCCCTTACTTGCGTTTTTTCTTATAATTCCCATTTTATGTTTTATTTACCAAAGGGATGCGCTCTCTTAATGTCTTCTAAGTTGACTCATTTAAACTGGTACCATAGGGTAAAAACTATTCCAATTTAAACACACATTCCTGCTAAATGATGGAGTAGACCTATAGAGATAATACAAGAGATATAGCAATTTTTATCAATCTCACTGCGACAGTTTTTACATTAAACACATTTTGATACATCTGGCTAGAGAAATGACTGCCCAACAATTTCCGAGTCATGGAAGCGAAAAGAAAAAAAAATTAATCTATTGACTTAATTAATAGGTGGCTGAAGATGCACGCCCGGTCTAACAAGCTGGACGGAATGACAAGGCACATGTGCTTTTATGATCCTGACATTGGCCAGTGCAGTCGCAATCCAATATCGTCAGGCAACTATGAATGATTATGTTATAAGTTTAAACTTTTCATTTTCTACACTAAATAATTACTGAGACGTACATGTAAGTGCATAGTGCTCAGTCTCATAGCAACAGACACTGAAGAAGGTCACGGAATGGCTGAAATCTCTGTAAGGTACAGCTTATATAATTAATCCCAGCTTTCATTTTGTGTGGAAAAGGAAATGTTTAATCTTTTAACAAAATAATTGACAAACTATACACATGAATTTCCATCAGGATGGTTTGCATAATCAACGGAAATCCTTTCATAAATTTATAATATTATTTGAAAATGAAATCTGAGGCTGTAATGATTGATACTAAAAAGTAAAACTATTATCTGAATGATACATGGATATTAAGTGCCTGGCTATATGGAAACACGGTCAAATTATCAAGTATCACCGACCAAACTCGTGTCCTCTTGTTAGGTTATTAAGAGTTATTAAGAGTGCCAGGTGTCTATGCTATTTACACCGAAAAAAGAGAAGTTTAAGGCTCTGTTCACATGGAAAGTCTATTTTCTAAAAAGCTATTTATTATTCGCGGTATCTTGTGATCACGGTCTGTGCCCTGAATACCCCGCGGCGTAATTACTGGCAGCGCGAGCCAGTTACTTCCAAAGCTGTAATTAATTCTCGGCTGCGCTCGGAGTGATCACAAGATACCGCGAATAGAAAATAGATTTTTAGAAAATAGATTTTTCATGTGAACGGAGTTTAAGTCGAAAAATCATTAAAAAATGTACGGAAAAGACGATTTTGTGTTTTTTAGACGATGATGACGCTTAATGAAATATTAGAAATATTCTTGAAAGGAAATCCCTGAAGAAGGCCTAGGGGCCGAAAGCTTGGATTGCATAATACATCTTTTTAGTAGATCTTCATAGACGCATCAGTGTTATAACTTATATACTGTACTTGTAATGAATGTATGCATATACTAAGGATCTTTTTTTAATTCGGATATAGATACGGCAGAAGGTGATTCATTTGCTCTACTTTGATGTATTGTAGAAGTAAAGTTTTAATTAATATTTTAGAGACAGCCTTTAACCGCGTTTAGGAAGGTATGGACATAGAACTTTGCAAACGTTTCAGTTTCAAAATATGGACGCTTGGCTTACCATGAGATGAGGGGTCAGCAGGATAACAGCTGTGCTTATTTTTAAGGGATGAGGATCGAACAGTAGCGTTAGCTTGTTCACGTGCATGTTTGCTGTGTGCCCGCGGATATCTGAACATAACTGACAACAGGTGTCACTAGGGGCGCCATTTATAATTCCAGGCGCGCAATGAGTAAAATGTGTGTGTGTGTGTGTGCGTGAGTGAGTGCGTGCGTCTGCGTGTGTGTATGTATGTGTGTTTGTGCAAACACGTGTGTAAGTAGAAAGGAAGAGAAAGAGTGTGTGACAAACGTTTTTGAAAAACGGAGGGGGGGGTAACCATTCAGAAAAATATCGATTAGATATGAATATGAATTTCCTTTGCCCCTCACCTCCCCCCCCCCCCCCCCC